ATGGAGCATATAATTACAGTTGCCAAAGAAAAACAGTATCTTCTCTGCGAACCTGGTGAGTACGCACTTTAAGTTTAAATGTTATCTCACAAGCTCTATATGCAGGAGCGTGGCCACCCCCAGATGCTGAAACGGCGTTAACAGCTACTGTTGAAGATACCCATGTTGGGCCGAGCTCACAACCTGCACAAGGTAAGGTCACGTGAGGCCTCACGCCATTTTGATTATAGATCGTTGTGAATATTCAGACACGAGGACTGAAAAGCGCACTGGTGGCGCATCGAAGAAGGACAAACAGAAAAGCAATAGGAAAAAAGGAGGTACAAATTATATTTGCAATGGCGTGTGGTCTCATGCCATTCCTTGCAGGAGAAACTTCTTCAAAGGCAAAACAGGCAAGCACCAGCCAAGCTCAAACTGACAGTGGTCATAAAAAGCGAAAGCACGTTGGACAGTCATCGAGATCAGAGGCGTTTGATTCGAAAAGGAAGAAGGGCAACGAAAAGATGATAGGTAATGCCTCGCGGTTATGGCGTGTGTGCTCATGCCATTCATTGCAGATCAAGGGCTGAGTGAAAGCAGGCAGTCACCACCTCATGACTCAGATTCCTATGGCAGACTCCCCTTCCCCAATCTCAATGGAGAGGTACAATGGATGAGGGAAGATTTTCAAGGCAGGGCCACATTTTTCTCATCTCGTCGTCTTCGAAGGGTGCAAGAACGTGCAGAAACCATGTTAAGACAGTCGGGTGAGGATACGGTCCTAGGTCACGCACTAAAACAGGCTATGGATGTCTTGTATTTTGAGATGGAGACTCGGCCAGATGATTTTCCCAAGATGGTCCTGGAAGAACAAGCCATCCAACCTGAGCAGCCTATGGAAGAAATGCAGGAGGGGGATGAGGAGCCAGAGAAAGATAATGAGCAGGAAGAGCAGAAGGACGAAGAGGAGGACAAAGAAGAGGAGGACGAAGAAGAGGAGGACGAAGAGGACTTGGATGGTCCTCACAATGGTGATGATCACAATAACGACGACGACGATGATGACGACGATGGCCAGCCTGAGGTGGCCAAAGAGCGGCGGAGGAAGGTCATACAAGACAAACCATCAGGTAAATAATAATACATCCATTCCTAACCTTTTACCATTTCTAACATTGTCCATGTAGGTCGCAGAGAAAATGGTAAGTAGAGATTATTCAGTTGAATTTACAAACTCTAGCCTTTAGTGTCGAGGAAGGATAGTGCCAAGCAAGGGTCGAAACGTATGTCCAATCCTTCAGAATCAGCAGTGCGCTCAAGTGATATCGGTCCTAGTTCCTCAATAGCAGTTGATGGTAAATACAGTATAGTCGATTCAATGTGCTAATGAGTTTGTTTTTAGTAGCACGGGAGGATACCATCTCAATCGAAGGGAGATATTTGGACATGCATATGGATCCGCCAGTGGACTCTACTTGGCTGCAAGAGTCATCAGAGCTGGTGGAGGCTACTATCCATATCAACGCCAAGCAAGCTGACCACGCTCCACTTGATGCTGCCCATACCACTGAGTCAATCTTGTCCACGTATCCAACTGACGGTGACCAGGCGCCATTGGACCCACATGAGGCCGCCCCAGCCGCCGAGCCGGTCGTATCCTCATTTCCAACGGACTCAACGTGTGCTCAATCGTCTGACTACGCGCCGTTGGAACCTCCCTACACCGCCCCTGCTGCCTGTTTGGTCATGTCCACTTTGCCAACGGAGGCACCAGCTGAAATGGCGTGTGATCACACGCCATCGGAACCACCCCATGCCACTGTTGAGCCAGTTGTACCAGAGTCTACAGCTGAAATGGCATGTGCCCACACGCCATCGGATGCGATTGACCCCACATTTCAGAGGAGAGTATTTCCGCCCTTCACGTTTCCTCGACCAAAACCCTCTCAACGACCATCGGGAGCAACATTCGCTAATATTGTAGATGGTAAAATTGACTTGTACCATTTTTTATGCTGACGCATTTCATTTTAGAGTCACGGCGAAGGTACTGTATTATTTTTTATCTGAACGGTGTCCTTTTCTCCCATGAGCGTGGCTCGTCCTCGAATGTCATTGCACCCTCCAAAGCCTGTGGTCACAAGTTGGTCAAAAGAGACAGATTCACATTAATCACACGGGAGAAACTGCGGGATCTAATAATGACCATGCGACACTTAAAACAGAGGGCCGGGTTCAATTTGCAATTGGGAGTTTGGACATCCATGATGCGCCACAATGCATTAACGTTGCTACAGATGATGCACGATCAGACGCGAGTAATATTACCATTTGACTTTCTCCTAACGCAGGAGGATTGCTTGACTATGGTCCATGTGAGGGGTAGCAAGCCCATCTTCGTCAAGCCAGAGGCTGTAGTGATGAACCGGACTGCTAGCTCAAGTGAAATCCTCATCATCGATGACTCGCCGATTAAAACTGCAGCGAACACGCACACATATGCAGTGCACCCCATCTCTTGCAGTATGGAAACTAAGGAGAAGAAACCGTATGTTCTGGGGGACCTTGCAAAACGGCTTGGAGCGATGGTGATAGAGAACCGGCCAGTCCAGGAGGTGGCTGCAGAAATCAACCAAATGGCAGATGGAACGGTATATCAAAAGCCATTTGATCGGACAGACACCAGTCATCATTTATGGCATGTATATTGTCTAGCCAAGCACTATCCGCATCTCCATAATCTGCTCAACCGGATGGGTTCTTCGACCACTGAACATGAGCGTGGACGTATTAGAGAAGAGATGGCATTACTATTGGGTTTAAATCCTGATAGTGTGGAGAGTGATGAAATTCCAAGATTATTGTATAGGCGTTGGAGGCAAAAAATAACAGTCTGAGATGGCATGTATTTATTTAAAAATGTAACTTATTATGGCATGGGGTTCCATGCCATTGTATTAATATTAAAAGACAATTCTTTGAGAGGATTTGCATTATACTAGAAGTGTTACAGCATGTTATTGGAAGTCTACGAAGTTGTTTTATTAATAATGGGAAAGTAAAGATTGAATGGGGACTTGGGCTCCACCTAGACTCGGAGCAACTGAGCCAATATTAAAAGGATGGAAAGAAATTGGACGACGATGACAAGGAGAAGAGAGAGGTGAAGCAGTGGCAGGGGGAGGAGAAGTGATTGAGTAGACATTTCCTTGTTTAAAATAAAATGGCATGTGCCTCAATGCAGTTGAATTTTGTTATATTTATATACTATATAAAGGTTTGGAAACCTTATTTTACAAGTGGGATAATGACAATTCCCACTTTAACGAAATAGAGCTTATCCCCAGGATTCCCATGAAAGAATTCTAGCCGAATGTGAGGATTAACACCAAGAATAGGAGGAGTTATACCATGTGCCATGAATGCCACCATCAATTGAGTTTAGTTATTCAATTACAAATGCATAACATCAAGCAATTGTACCAACTACTACTCCATAGTCAAAAGAGGAAATTGCTAATTTGCCATGAAGATGAACGAAAAGGAAATAATAAAAGAAAAAGAATGACAAAAAGCTAAAAGGAAAAGGAGATTTAGACAATGCAAAAAGCTAAATTGAAAGAAAAATCTTGAAAGGAAAAAATAAAAGAAAAGAAATGGAAAAAACTAAATCTAGATGATGCAAAAGTTAGATTTAAACCAAAATCCCAAATCCAAGCATTCCTTAGGGACAATCAAAAAGTGCCCTTCACCTTCACTAATGTGAGTGCATGGAATATGAAAAAGGAATACAAAAAATGTGCATATCAATTAGCCCAAAAACCCTAATTTATATACAAAAGCGAGTGGTCTAGATTAAAATTAATCTGACAGCTATCAAAATCCCACTATGATATATTAATATATGGCATCTTGGTAATAAAAAAAATTATATTTAAAATATTATTAACGATTTGTTCTTTAATAAACTTTAAAAGGTTATAATTTTGAATTATTATTTGTAATTTGAAAATTACTTTTGTGCACACCAAAATAGTGTAGATTTCTAGGGTTCTTCCGCGGGCCAAGAATGCCATCGCCATGGAGGTATCTAACCGAGATCTAGAATCTAGACAATGTTTCAGCATGGTAGAATCCAGGCATTCCTCTCGATTTTCAGAAGAGATGCTAGAATCGCTGGAGCTAGTGTGAGATTCATGGGCGGAGGGCCTCGGACATTCCCGGGCGGAGTTACAAAGTGGCAGTGGAAGAGAATGCAGGAGAAGAAAAAGAAGGAGAGGGACAGGATATGGCTGTCTAAGGAGAGATCTCTGTACGAGAGGAGGAGGAGGGCTCAGATAATGGCGTTGATGCCACTCCGGCCCTGGGAGAAAATCCATCCAGAGGCGCCATCGCTTCCAAAGATCGACAAGGATCCCAAGATCAAGGAGATGGCTCACCGCTTCCAGACTTGCCGAGGGGTGGATCTCTGGACCAAGAACGATGGTCCGGAGACATGCCGGGAGCTCGGAGAGCTCGACCAGGATGGCTCGGCTCCAGAGGTTCCGGTTCTCAAAGCTTTCCGGCCGCTGGCACTGTCAACTTCGCAGAGAATCAGCGATCTTAGCAAGAGCCAGCAGGTAGCAATGGCCCAGAATCAAGAACAGCAGCGGCAAGATGAGGAGCAGCGAGAGTCCCGGATCAAGAAAACGTTTTACAGCCGGAGGCACGATGATCCTCCCGAGGGTGACGAGGTTTTCCAGCACAGCCGGTTCATGCTAGCGAGTTATCTCCGCAAGCAAGGACATATGGGACTCGGCTACGCAGCCGAGACGACCGGGATCACGAAAGATAGCAGCACTTCTAGCGGTGACAGCGACAACACGATCGAGAGAAGTGACTACTCGTCGTGGCTGAGCGCGCTCGCAAACGATCGACAAAGGCTGGCCGAGCGACAGGAAAGTGTGGCCGCTGGAAAGAGATCTGGTCAACAGCATCGACCGGGTCAAGTTGCCACGGATGGCGATAAGCACTGAGCCAGCACTGGTGGAAATCTTACTCTCCAGCGCAGCGTTTCTATCAAGACGCAACGCGGTGGCCGATGATCTTGTTTTTATATTTCCTGGTACGTGATCTTATCTTCCCAGCTTTCTTATCGCTCTTTTCTCTCTTTCGTGCGTGGTTTTCTAACTGGAAGCGTGTTGGATCACAACAAAGCGAGAAGCATCAGTGATGATCGACTAACAGTAGCAAGGTGGCTCTCGGATCAAAAAATCGCAATCCTCCCGCATCTTCCAAAGTTAAAAGTGCATAGCGGTTTCTTTGGAGACAGGTGTCATCGTGGCTGAGAGCTTTTGCAGACGATCGACAAAAGCTGAGCGAAAGATCACGCTGCAAAGATGAAAAGCTTTTCTCCTCCATTACGCCAAATTGCCACGGTAACAACAAGCGATGAAACAACGCTGCTGTGCTGGGGAGCGCGATCGTCAATGGCAAATATCCGGTGGATCGTGATCTTGTTTTTAGCTCCTGGTACGTGATCTTATCTCTTGTCGCTTCGTTTTTTCTTTTTTCTTTCCTTTCTTTCGCTTGTTTGATCCGCTCAGTGAATGGTTTCCTGACTGTGATGTGGTTCCCACTTTGTAGGTGCGACAAGGACACGCAAAAAACACCGCAAAAGAGGATCATTCAAACAAAAAATGCGATTTTGCTTAGTAGCAAGGGGCGGACAAACGCTCAGCCAATCATTTAGAGGCCAGTTTTTGGCACGATGCAACAGCAAATAGCACAGGAGTCAGGACTGATTCTTTCCCGGTTAGCCGAGGTTTTGTTCGAGAGGAATCCGAGCTGGGGACTGGACAAACGAGATCGGCTCCACACCAATCACCGTAGGGGAGAAACTTGGCAATCCTATGAGCGAGAATCACCGCAAGGAGGGAACTTGGCAGCGAGAATCACCGCAAGGGAGAAACTTGGCAACCCGAGTCCAAGGTGGAACAGTCCGAGTTGGAGTCCGATATGGCTAGAGTCCGAGATGGAGTGTCCGAGATGATAGACTTTTCCCGGTTTCTCCGAGATGGAATGGCGTTCGTTTTGGAAGGGATCCGAGCTGGACGGCCCCAGTCACTGCAAGGGAGAAAGTTAATGACCGAGCGTGGGGTGAGTCCGAGGTGGCTAGTCCGAGATGGAGTGGATCTGTTGACGAGGACGACGATGACTCCCAATGCCGTGCATGGTAGACGTGTGTGCACACACACTCTGTGTGTGCGCGAGGAAAAGGAATGGTGGGGTGACACGTGGCGTAGTGGCGGATATTCCGTTACTCGCCAGGAAGGCACATTCCGTCGGTAGGCCTATCGGTAAGTAAAAAAAATTGGCGAACGGTCTCCGTTACTTGGACTGAGATTATTTAAACGCAAAGGGGCATTTGATTTTGGATCCCTTCCAACAAGGTTTTTCTTCTCGTCCGCCATAGCCCAGAGGGTCCGCCGCCATGGCGATCGGTGGCGCATTCCCGCTGAATCGATGTAATATCGGCTAGATAGATTCGATCTGGTGCTCCCGATCCATTGCGGTCTTCTTTCCTCGATTTCTTCTTCTTCGTCGGCAGCGCGCAATGGAACCCGGCGATGCGGCACACCGCATCATGAGAAAGCTGAATTTCGCGGAGGATCAAGGCCCTGTCTCGAGGTCCGCCCCGTCGATGCCGTCGGCACCCGCCGCTGTGCCAGCCCGCGCAAGGTCTTCCTCCTCTTCTCCTTCTTCCCACGCCAATCTATGATCCGCCCGGAGCAGCAGCACGTATTTTCTTGAATCATCCGGCTCGTCACGATCGGTCCTGGCACCGCAAAGTAATTTTTCTCAGGTAACGTGGAATCCATCCCATCCCAATCCTATCGGTTAGAATAGAATGCCGGCACCGTTTCTTTCTTTTCTTTTCTTTGCTTGCGCTTTTTCGCGAAGCTAATTTTTTCCTCCATGGCATTGTTGTTACAGGACTGGCGGAAGCTTGGAAAATTCTGTGAGCATGGCTTTGGCCTTGTTTCACCACAATCCCGTCGCGGCGGCTTGCGCATCCCTCAGGTCTAGCTGCGCGAATCGCCGGCGCCAGAATCCATTGTGTCACGCATCGATTTTGAGCTCGTCGTATTCATCCCGGTGAGTGGATATTAAACCGTGGTACTGTATTCACCACTGTTGACGTCACTAATCGTGTATTCTCGCGCTTGGTGATCGATCGACAGGGCTTTTAACAATCGTTGCAAATCCAAACCTTGCATTAATAAATTGCTGGCAATGAGCTGTGGCACGGCGAAGCCGTGCAGTGGCCAACTTGAAAACGAGGTGAGAACCGTTTGATGCATTCATGGGTTCTTCGTGATCTCTTTGTACTCACTTGCGTTGTCTCTGTGCGTGTAGACTATGAAGCTTGCTAGACGGGCTTTTTGCGAAGAAGTAACAAGAAAAGAAAATGTTTCTCTGGCAAAGGTATATGGCCTACCCGACTGACGCTTTATCTCATCTTTTCTTTTTTTTCTTTTGTGGAAGGCTGCACTGTTGATTTCGATAGAAGACGAAGCTTTTATAATGGCTAATCGAGAAAGGGACATGGCAGCTTTGCAGAAGGAAGGTCGAAGTGTTTTCCCGCATACAAAAATATATCCCACCGACGCGCTCTATTTGGAGGGCCAGAGCATTGCTCATTGGCTGGATAAGCTAGATTCTCTCGTCAAGACGAGTCAGCATCCAATGGAGGTGTTAAAGACGTTTACCAAGAAATCCTCGCTAACCACGGACCCTGGTAACTTTTACTTGCACCAGGTTCTAAGTCTCGGTGCTGGAACTGGTAAGCGTCCTTGACTATTTTTTTCCTGACGATCTTACGTTGTGTTGTATTTTTTCTTCTTTCAGCTATAATGCTTGGCATCCTTTATATGGAGCTCTCCAGGAGAATGGGCTTACCTGTGAGCGGAGCACCAGTAGGGGATGACTTCCTCGTCTGGCCCTCGACTGAAAACAAGGTATGGTGTGACTTTCTACGCACTGCTTAGGATTTTGACGTTCAGAATCTCAGCTAACCGTGTACTGTGAGTTTGGTGTTGCAGGTTGTCAGTGGGGGTGATTCAGTCGAAACAGGGTTAAGTGCGGAGGTATAAGTTAGCTACATGTTGCCAGTGATGGTAATATCGTATCTCCTTTGGCGTGTGTGGTTCTCAGATGGTCTTTGAGCCCTTCAAGGGTGGAAAGATATGGTCCAAAAAATCAGATGGAAGTTACGTAAGGCAGCACTCGAGTGCTGCAAGTGGTCCGCAGGCTGGACCTCATCCAACAAGCGGCTTGCGACCCGTCTCTGACCAGGCAATCTTATCGGTTCTTCTGCGCAAGCTCAAAGTGAGTAGAATTCCTTTTCATTTTCACTTCTTTCCTTCTGTGCAAGAAGTCTTTTCTTCTTTTTTTCCTTTGCATACACGACTTCTGATCTAGTTTTCATGGTTGGACTGTTTGTTGCACATCCAGTAGGGAGCAGTAGATCATCCATAGTGCTTAGCTTTGTTGTTGCAGCGCCTCTACTGGAAGCGAGCAGCCAAAGCTTATGCAGGGTGCGACATTGCTGCCCCGCTCCATCCACTGGCGCTCGCCACTGCCCAAGGTGTGCCGCTGCTTAGTCTCGGCAAAGAGCAAACTCTTCTTCGCCCGCAAGACTTGAGGCAAGCAAAAGCTTTTGGTTTTCTTCCTTCTCAGCTTAGTGGTGTTTGTTTCCTTCTTTCGCGATTGCACAGGCTTGCAGTAGCGGCATCCGAGAAGCTGTTGCTGTTGCAGCGAGACTGGATAACGCGGCGAGATCACGGGCTTCTCCTGTATCATTCCAGGTATAAAACTCTTCTTTAGTCCTGGCAAGATAGTAACTTGCGAAACACAGGCGATATGGGGAGGCTCTCCAGGAGCTGAGCGCTTGCCTGGCTGTGGCGCCGGTTCACGACTTGCAAATCCTGGAGCCATTCGTGGAGAAGCTTCACTTACTCCGGGTGGAATCATCGTGGGCCGCGTCCTTGAACAGCTGATCTTGATTGATTGATCGATCAATCCAAAAAAAAGAGTATTGTTGGCTATCATAACAGAAAATAAACCATTGATCGATCCCACATTAAAACCTTTAAAGGTGAGTATTTCGCGTACACATTAGAACTTTAGAAAGCTTGGAAGAGATTGAGGGTCACGAAATCTATCAAATAGTAACCTTTAAAGGTTTTAATGTGTGACATAACGAAATCGACCAATGGTTTAGAAAATTATTATCCTCTTAATGTAATAATAAAACTATAACAAATAAATTGTAAACATGTGCCTACAACTTTAGAAGAAAAGATTGTTTTAGTTGGCTACCTCCTCCTCCTCGTGATGATCAAAAAACATAGGCATTCTTGAGTTTAAAAAAAACGAAAGAAAGAGGAAAAGAACGAGAGAGAAAAATAATAGAGAGCTTCCTTCTCCCATCATCTTCTTTCATCTCTTAGCGCGCTTTGCCGCTGGCCTTTGGCCGTCCTTGGCTGACGATCTCTTGTTTCGAACGCCGCGAACTGGAGCAGTAGTAGCAGCAGTAGCGCCACCACCACCACCGGCCGGAGTGGCAGCAGTGGCGCTCGGAGTTGGAGCAACGCCATCGCTCTCCTTCTCTTTCACTACACTAGCAGCAGCCCCTTTGCCTTTCTTCTTGGACGAGCTCTGCTTGTCCTGGTTGGAAGCCGAGGCTTTGGAGTCTTTGCGCTCCTTAGCTCGATCCTTCTTCTCCTCCTTGTCTTTCTCCTTCTCCTTCTCCTTCTCTTTGCTTGCTACTGCCGCCGCTGCCGCCGCCGCGGCCTCCTCGGCCTTTCCAATCTTTTTCACTATAGCATCCAGCGGCTTCTCTCTGGTGACGCCTTTGCCGGACTTGTGCTCGCTGCTACCGCCGCCACCGGCCCCTCCTCCTCCTCCGGCACCTCTGTTCTTCCGGCCATAAGCCTTGAGAGGCTTGGCCTTGCCTCCCTCCACCTCGGGCTCTCCCCCCTCTCGCGTGTCGTCCTCTTCCCCGCCACCTTTGCTGCTGGGAATGCCGCCGCCGGGGCTCAAGCTCGCGCTCTTGGACCTGCTGTTGTCGCTCGCCGCGTTCTCTACAGCTCCGGTGGTTGTCGTGGTGGTGGTGGTGGTGGGAGTAGTCGTCGCGGGTACACTCGCCTGGCGTGCTGGTGTCGTGCTTACTGCTGTGGCGGCGGTGGCTTTGGTTGAACAGTTCTCGAGCGCAGTAGCAGGCTTTTTGGTGTCTCTCTTCCGCGGGGCCGCCTTGTCGGGCTTTGTAGCGCCGGCTTCTGCTTGCATCAGCTTGTCCATCTCTTCCATCACCAGCTTCCTCATCACCACCGCTGCGCTGTGCTCCGGCGAATCTCGCGGGTAGAAAACGATGCAGTTGTTGAAGACGAGTAAGATGTCCCGGAAAAACTCCAGACTGCCCGAGTATGCTCCCTCCTTGAGGCGTGCTCTTATCATGTTGAGATCAATGTGCCTTCGAACAACTTGAGCATAGCGAGGATCGTCCTGCACGAGTACAGAGCGAATTAACATAGACTATCAAGGATAAGGTACCTGGCTTTCTTGTTTCTGCTTGAAGAAAGAAGCTTGCTTGTGGTTGGAAATCGTCCGGAGGCAGTTCATGAGAGGTTGAAGCTTGAGGATGTGCGCGGTTTCGTTTTTGGTCCTCCTACTTGTTGGAGAGTCCTCGGGCCCGTCGGCTTGAGAGCCAACATCACTTCGTTCAACTCGGCTGTCCTTCGACTGCTCGAGAGCACTGCCACTGCCCTCGTTAACACTTGCTGGAGAACCAACGTCCTGCGTACTGGCCCTCGAAACCACTGCATTGTCAGCTTTTTCCACTGAGTCGGCCTGACGAGTTCCTCCCTGTGACTCGTCGCTCTTCTCGTTCAAATCCGCAGCAGGCTTTACGTCTGTGCTCGAAGAATGTTGAGCAGCACTGGCGCTCGATTCCTTCTCGTCCTGCGAGACTCGTCTCGCGTTTGGCTGCTCGGTAACAATATCTACCACCAACCCGTCGACCTGGACAACGTCGTCGTCTGCTGGCTGATTAGCTTCCGACTTCGTAACATCTTCGGCCTCCGGGACATGCGTACTCAAAACTGGAAGTGGCTCGTCACTTGCTTTTGTCCCCTCGGTGTCCAAAAGCATCTCACTCCCTGACTCGACGGTGGTAGGAGCCACTGCTGTGTTTTCGGAAGCAGATCCTACAAAATTGCCGTCGGATGCTCTGACAGCTTCCTTGCTTCCGGTAACATCTGCAGAAGCCTTAGGATCGCCAGCGGCAATTGCTGATGGCTCCCCTTGATCAACAATTGGTAACTTATCCACCTTAGCATCTTCCATATCCTCAACGCCAGGAACATCAGAGCTAACAGCTTCAACAGTTTCCTTCTCTTCCACCGCTGGTGCTTGCCTTTTCTCTTCCGATAAAACTTCGGTTAATTTTCCATCACCTTCCATTCCATCTCCGTCATCTTGACAAGTACCATCCTTTACGGGAGCCTGCGCTGCATCGTCTAGTTCGGTATCAGAAGCAACGACTTCTTTACTAGCAGTTTCTCGTTCGGACTTTTTACTCTTGCCAATGTCAGCTTCATTCTTCAAGCAAACCATGTCATCACCACCCGGTTTTGTCTCGTCTTCATCCTGGCGCATTCCTTCATGCGACCCATCTGCTACTACTTTATCTATATCCTCGACCCGCTTCTCTGTATCAACATCTGTGACTACTTCTACCTTCTGTGCACTGTGAGATTGATCCTCCATATCTACATCCCTTACTGCTGCTTCTGATGCTTTTTCTGTGTCGGCTGCCTCCACCTCCGCAGATTCATCTGTTGCCACCTTCGCATCTTCCATCGCCTCTGTTGCAGGTTTCCCATCAGCAGTTTCTTCATACTTCTTGACTTCGTCCATACTATCCCTCTTTGCATCATTTTCAACGGTCGAAACCTCATTGCTCTCAGAGATCCCTGTCTCCTCAGTGCCAACGCCACCTGGAGGATTCCTCTTGTCGACTTCCACGTCCCCATCTTGGGCAACACAACTCTCTGGAGCGCTTTGATCCGCTGGCTTTGTATGCTCCACTAAGCCAGCGCCAGGCTTTTCCGGAGCGTGCTGCTTGCTCGTAACCTGCAAGCTCTGCGCTCTCTCAGCCTTGAGCCTCTTCAATCTGTTTGTCAAGGACCTGCCTTGCCAAAGGCCACCTCAGAACAAAGAAAATTTTCCAAAAACCAAGCACTACTCACGCTATACACCCATCGTGCCACTCAAGCTCTCGTTTGAGATGTGCCATCCTTCGTTTGCGAACATCGTCAAACCATGAAGGGTACTGCTCTCTACACGAACCAAAGAAAAAAAAAACTTGTATCATCTATCAAACGACAAAAAAAAAAATGGTGAGCCATCACCTTCCATTCCCACCGTTGCAGTATCCCGATCCGCCATAGCGACCGCAAAGAGCATCAAACTTGCTCTTACAGGCCTGCGAGAACCACACAACAAAATTTCAATAATATTGCCCAGATATCATTTTTCTAATGGAAGATCTAGCGCAAAGAGAGAATGCTTACCTCCGGGGAGAAAGACGACGATGGCAGGCTGAGGAGCTTGACCCGCGCTTGGAGCTCGCTAGCCACGGAGCTCCAATCGCCGGTCCCATGCCGGGCCACTGCGCTCACGAGGAAGAGCTCCTCGAGCGTCCCCCACGCCACGACTGCCGATCCCGACGCCTCGGCTACGCATTCATCCTCTTGCTGGGCGAGAATCTGTGGCTGCGGCGGCTGCTGGAGAATACGCGCATCTTCCATGAGGCGCGCTGCATCTATCAGATCCCAATTCGCGCCCCAACCTAGGGTTCTTGCAGTGGTTTAGGAGGAGATCTTGAATCAATGTCGCAACACACCTCCATTTTGGAAGAGCCCTAGATTTCGCGAAAGGAATCGAACCCCGTCCCTTTTTATAATGAGGCCCTTTAAAAATTGGGCACGCCAATGGGAATGGAACCCCGGATCGCTGGTTTTATTTGCTTAGCATGAGCGAGGAGGAGAAGAGGGAGAGCGCTTGGGGCTTCGAGGAGGCGGCATCGCCATCGCCATTAGCATCGCCGCCAGCATCGCCGCCAGCGCCATCGCCGACAGTGCCGCTGCTTCCCGTGCATCAAGCATCGCCGATGCCGCTGGTTCTTGCGGGGGTATCGACTGGCCAGATGCTCTTGCTCAAGCGATTCAAGGATGCGGTGAGGCAGGGCAAGCCGATTCCAAATATGCACATCATCCAGCCAGTTCTTCTCGGTGGCGCCGGCGCTTGCGCATTTGGAGGTCTCCTGAGCGCGCTTGGCTTTTTACGGGTATGATTTTTTCCTGTGTCCTACATTCTTTTGTTTGATCGCTCTAAGTTGTTACAGTTCGACAAGATCTTTGGAACTCGCAAGCCACAGATCGAGGCGTGATCGGGTTCGTAAAGTTGCCAGTTTTCATGGTTTTTCATGGATTCACTTTGATTTTGTGATGTTGCCAGGTTTCCTGGATAGGAATTCGTTCTAGTTTGTTTTTTTGAGAAGGAAAGAGACATCTTTTTGCCAAAGACGAAGAAGTTCTATCGGTTTAATAACAAGTGCTGTTGTTTTTCACTCGAGCATGGCAACTTGTAACGTTGGTGTGTTTATGGCTTTTGGTACCCTTGGCGACATACTTCCTTTAGCGGTGAGCTTCGTTCTTTCAACAATCGCTCGCTTCTTAACTCGCGCTTATGGTTTCTCTTATTTTCTTGCAGTACGTTGCTATAGCTTTAGCTCGAGCGACTACGAAGTATTCTATTACGTTCATCACTCATGATTCGCATCAGGTATTGTGGTTTTGAGCTTTACATCTATGGAAACCGTTGCCTTCACAGGTTTTGAAGGCGCTCCTTTTACCTGCTGGTATTGTTTTGCGCTCCGTCTCAACACCTGCAGTCTTGACACCTGAACAGAAACGGGACTCTTTCCCAGACTCGCTTACTTCTGGTAACACAGTTCCAAAGTGCGAAGTTTCACTCATCCGTGCTCGACGCGTAGAAATTCACATGGAGGAGTGCCTGGACGCGATTGAAAGTCAGGAATCCAACGGTACCATTAGCTTCATTGCAATCAATTTCTTCGCCCTGGTCGGTTTATCTGAGTTTACGATCACGCTTTTACCTGTGTATCGGTTCCTTCGTCAGGAAGGCTGGCATATTGCAGAGCTTTTGAATGTGCGGTTTATCGTACTTGCGCCATATGTCATGCCTTACAGGCAAGAGAGACACTCAGTGCTCGCATAAACTTTATTGGATCTGATCTTGCGCAGTGCTCCTGCGTCGTTTGAGCGCAGCTTCAGACAAGTGTACCCTCGCTTGTACAAGCGACTACAACGAGCATCAGCTGAAGAGGTCTCTCGATATATTTTCTCGTTTTAAAACTTGCGCTTTCTGATTCAATTCACCAGGTTGGATGGAAGGATGTAACACATTGGATGTGGCCGCTTTTTACTGACAGATGGACGTCATGGCGCGTTCGAAAGCTTCGGCTTAGCGCGTGTCCCTTGACGGTGGGCTCTTTACATCAAATGAATAACAATGTAACCTTCCTTGTTTCAGGATCCCGTTACGGAACTACCTGTTCACGACTGGCCCCGCTCAGTACCACTCTTGTAACCTTGCTTTTAAACTTTGTCCCGTTGATTCATTCGTCCTTCAGGTATGGATTCAGCGAGAAAGTTGTAGAATGTCCAGGTGAGTTTTTTGTTTTTGTAACCTTAAGTTTGATACGCGAGTGCTATAGGTTATTGGCCCAGCAGCGTGCGTGTGTGCGGCTTCTGGCTGCCACCTGACCGTGGGGTTTCGGGGACAACTCATCTTGCACCAAAACTTGCGGAATTTTTGTTGAGAAGCGCCGATTCCAAGCCTGTCTTTATTGGACTGAGCTCAATAACCAGGTACAATCGTGTCTTTTCTATAGGCAGCATTCAAAACTTGTGTTCTTTGTCTGCAGCATGGGCTTTCTTCAAAATCCTCTGGGGATGCTACAAGTTGTCACGGATGTTTTGAAAGCTGTAAATATGCGCGGTGTGCTTTTTACAGCCGGTCACCCGTCTCTTGAAGCAGTTGTTACGAGTGCTGCTGGTCTGGCAACGTCTTGCCTGGAGAAAGAAGGGCTCACTCTTGATCACAACTTATTCTGCTACTCCGGGTATGAAAGCTCCATCTTTGCCAATCAGCAACGTGGTCTTTTCCGTCTAGATATGTTCCTTACAACGATTTGTTTCCAAAATGCTCAGTAGTCATTCATCACGGTGGAAGGTAACAAAGCCATTCACATCTTCATCTGGCTCGGACAAACGCTTTTGTGTTTTCGCAGTGGAACGACTGCTGCTTGTCTTCACGCCGGAGTTCCTCAGGTAATCTAATCTCGTCGTGAATCTCCTCGTATTTCTTACCAACACGTTTACAGGTGATATGCCCGTTTATTCTCGACCAGTTCTACTGGGCGGAGCGAATGTCATGGCTTGGAGTGTCTCCACAGCCTCTCAAGCCATACCATCTCGTCCCCGACGCGACCAAGCTTGAAATCTCGGGAGCCGTGGACGCAGTAACTCTGGCAGTGCGCGAGGCTTTGACAGACAGAATCAAAACAAACGCCATGGAACTCGCAAGCAGCATCAATGACGAGGTACTCTTAAACGCTTACGATTTGGTCTAAAGCTCAAACTGGAACTCCAATGCAGGATGGCTGTTCCAGAGCTGTGCAAATTATAATGGAAGAAACGCCGTAAAAACTTTCTCGGAAGTGGAAAGAAGAGAGAACAAGCACTGCCCTCTAAGCCATGATCTTGGCAGACTTCAAGTAGAGGCTATCCACCACCTTGCTCACGTTCGAGATGGTATCCAGCGTCGCCGGATAGATCCCATCCGTTTGGGCCGAGTCGAAGATGATGAGGCACCCGGCACCCTGGTCCAGCGTCCCCAAGAACTTCTTATCCAGTATCATCTGCGACAGCTTCTTCTCCACCGTCTCAATGGGGAGCCCGATGAGCCGCGAGATGTGCGTGATCTCCACCCGCGAGAAAGGCTCGATCAGCCGGCAGAGGTTCTGCTCCAGCAGCGTGTCGTAGAGCGACGAGAGGTGCCGGTGGACGATGGGATCCTCCTCCAGCTGCGGCTTGTACATGGCCAGCGCCTCCTCGAAGTCCTTGAGCGAGCGCTTGGCGTAAGCTTCCGCCACAGCTTTCATGGCGTCGAGCTCCACCCCGGTGTACTTGAGCCCGGCCTTGGACGAGATCAAGCTGCCAACGTCGTCGGCCTGGTTGGTCATGATCTTGCACAGCAGCATGTACTTGAGCGAGAACACGGCCCTGGGATCGTCCAGCGCGTTAAAGGCCTCGAATCCCTCGTAGAAGTAGCTGAAGCCGGTCTTGTAGTCCTTCTCCTCAGCGTGGAGGATGCCGCTCTGGAGATCGATGGTTCCCTGCTGCGCTGGAGGAACGTAGATCGCATTGGCGGCGGTCCTGGCGGCCGTGAGCGCCGCCTTGGCCTTGGGGAGGTTGCGCAGCGCGAAGTGGAGCTTGCTCTCGAGGAGATCGATGTCGACGAGGAGGAGCTTGTCGTCGAGCTTGCGGACTTCTCTCACGAGCTTGGTGATGAGCGCCAGCGCCTCGGAGTAGTCTTTCACTTCCATGAGCAGCGCTGCGAGGCGGGCTTCCACTCTCTGCCGGAGGAACGTCCTCTTCTCGGTGCGCGTCCACTCCACCATCTCTCGGCACAGTGATATTTGCAGCGTGGAGGTGCCTGGGATCTTGGCCACGGCGTCGATCACCCCGCGCACAATCTTGGCGGTCTTGGCCTTTGGGATTACGGCGAAGAAGGGGCGGAGCTCCGTGAGCAGGCTGCGCAGATCCTCGGCCCTCTTTTGCTGCGAGAAGAGCTCCGACAGCACCGAGATTGCCTGCTCCTTGACGCGCAGCACTTCCGCCGCGCTGGACGAGTCCCGCAGCACGGATTGCAGCAGCGAGATTGCCCTGGGCGGGTCCGCGTCTTGAATCTCCAGCGCCTGAGCTAGGATCTCCTCCGCCGCGGCCGAGGGAGGCGGCGGTGGCATCAGGGACGAGGAGGACGATGCTTGCGCGACAGCCGCAGTAGCCATGGCGGCGAAATATAAACCCTAGCCTCCGGATCTACCCCGCGCCGCGCGTGACAGTCGCTTACCTCGATCGATCGCCTAGAGGAAGAGAGAGCGAAAAGAAAGAACTAGGGTTTGGACAACTACTGTGGCGGGCCGCCACAGCACACCACCAAGACGCCGCCTGGAAAGTGCGCTGGAGCCCTAATCCCCGGGGCATAAATATCAAGAGCCCTAATTAGGTCGGTCTCTTTTGGGGCAGCGCGCGAGGGTTTCGAGCGCGGGGGCCGCGGGCGAGGGCGCCGATTTCTTTCCAGGACTAGCACGAACACCACCAGCGGCGGCGGCGATCCAGCATGCCGAAGAACAAGGGAAAGGGAGGGAAGAACCGGAAGCGAGGTAAGAACGAGGCGGACGATGAGAAGCGCGAGCTCGTGTTCAAGGAGGACGGGCAGGAGTACGCGCAGGTGATCCGGATGCTGGGCAACGGGCGCTGCGAGTCGATGTGCATCGATGGGATCAAGCGGATGTGCCACATCCGGGGCAAGATGCACAAGAAGGTGTGGATCGCGGCGGGGGATATCATTCTGGTGGGGCTGCGGGACTACCAGGATGATAAGGCGGATGTGATCCTCAAGTACCAGCCCGACGAGGCGCGGCTGCTCAAGGCGTACAACGAGCTGCCCGATAACATCCGGCTCAACGAGGGGATTGCCAGCGTCATGGACGACGAGGAGGAGGGCGGCGACGATTACATCGAGTTTGAGGACGAGGACATCGACAAGATCTAAGAGGGCAGCTAAGCACTGCTTTGTTTCTATATATCTCTCTCCTCTTCTATTCTACTAGGAAGCACGAGAACAAAGAGTCAATGAGAGAAATCTTCATTGATCGACCCAATTCATCTCTAGCGTTTGGATTGTTTTCTCGGAGAAACCGATCGTTGGGAGAGAGATCCTTCGTTTCTCGTGGTGGATGGATATCTCTACCAGAAACACACAATGAAATCTTCATTGATCGATCCAATTCGCAAATGATTTGGATTATCCTCTTCTCGGAGAATTCGAGGGGATAGAGATCTACGCACCACTCACCCTCGTGGGTCCAAGGATCTACTCTCTTCGTTTCTAGAGAATTCTCTCGTGGGTCCTGGGAAGCTCTTGATCTGCCTGTCTCTAGCGAAGAACCCTAAAAGAGAAAGTTCTCTCATCGCTCACCTCCTCTTCTTCACCACCGCGGCCTTGAGCGACGCGGCCGTGTCCACCGCATAGCCGCCAATCGGGGGTAGAATCGTGGGTGGCACTGCCTTGAGCGCCGTCTTCCTCATCCCCATCACCGGCGTCTTGATCCCGGCGCGGAGGTGATCCGGCAGCGCCCCGATCGCCGCCACCTTCGCCGCCAGCATCCGCCCCTCTGACCACTGCTTCTCCCTGTGCTCGTTCATCAAGATCCGGCTGGTCTCCTTGGCCAGCCGGTTGAGCTCCGCCAGCATCGTCTGCCGCTCGCCGTCGCTGATCTTGATCTTGGGCTCGATCGTCTTGCGCTTGGATTGCACCTGGACGCGAATCGTTGCGCCGACCCCAGCGTCCTTGACATTCTTGCTCTCCACGCCCTTCTTGCCCAGCTTCTTGCCGACCCCCGCCCCGCCCTTCTTGTAGCCGCTCTTCTTGGCCGCCTCCACGATCTTACCCTTCTTCGTGCCGGACACGCCCAGCACGCGATTCGTGGAGATGCCGCGCCACGGCACCGCCCATGGGATCACCTGGCGCAAGCGCCCCAAGATCACCATAGAGATGCCCAGAAATTAGGGTTCTTGGTTCCAGAAATTTAGGGTTCCTGGGGGTTCTTGGGCGATATTAGGGCTCTTGGGCATTTCTAGAGAAGAAAAATGCCCATCTAGAGATCGGCCATGCTGAAATTCCATCGCAAGTGCATCATGCTTCTCGTCCCGGGAATTGGCAGCCGATACTCATCCGAGATGCAAATGGACAGTCCCTCCGTCAAGAGCCTCAGCCTGGTGGCGTGATTCAGCAGTCTCATGCAAGCCGATCGGATTTGCTCCATCTCCAGCTCCGGCGCAAACACCAAGTTCCTCAATCGCAGCTTCTTCCGGACGTGGAGATTGAGATTCCCCAGCTTCTCCTCCTCGGCCTTGAACTCGATCCTCCTCTTGACAGCCTCACGGCCCCTCTCGTTGACGAACTTGTAGATCTCTGCCAAGTTCTCGGTCACCGGCACGTTGATATACCCCATTCGATCGTCGACGCTCATGCTGCTGCCACTGCTGCTCGTCACTCGAATCGGGAGATCGTGAAACTTTCCATCACCGACAGCTCCAATCGCCTCGGCCTCGTGCAGCACCTTGTCAAGGAACGAAGAATACTCCTGCTCCAAGGAGAGCGCATCGTCCGCGAAGATCATCTCCACTTCCATCAGCCGTGCCGCTCGAAACTCCTTCACTCGCCTCTCCCGGACTGCTGCTCGCTTCGCTGCGATGGAGCTCACATCGAGCTGGCGGAAGAACTCCGCCCAGAACACCGGACCATCGTCGTGGTTGAGCCACAAGTTGCCGAGACCATCCACGCCACAGCAGCTATCACCGATGAGAAGCGCGCAGCCTTTGAGCTCGCAATCCGGGACGCTGTCAAGAGCTCGAGCTAGCGAGTGGAGGCACTGGAGCTGCGAGTCGGGCGGCAAATCCTTCCGGAACGAGACCGTCACCCCGCGGCCCAGCCGCAGCGCGTTCCTGACCACGATCATCCGCTGCTCCTGCCCAAGAACAGTCGTCTCGTTCTGCCGCTGGAGCTCCGACGCGGTCTGGAAGAGCTCCGAGAGCTTCATCGTCAGCCTGCTCTTGGAGAGTATCTCGCCACCGCCTGTGAGGTTCCCGGAGAACTCCGGCGAGAGTCCAAACGAGGAGAGTAGCAAGCCCAGTGCCGATCGAGTAGCAGGCAGCATCTCAGTTCCTGGCAGCGTTGCCTGTGGCGGTGGCAAGCACACCTCCACCTTCTTGATCGATTCCTCCTTCTCATCCTTGAATCCCTTGGGCTCTCGCTCGCGCCGGACGTAGAATTCGAGCTTGTACTCATTGACCGAGCAATTCACCTGGCCGCCCTTGGCGACGCGGAGGTATTCCTGGAGGAGCTGGAAGGAGCGCTGATTGATCTCCTGCCAGTCACGATTGGAGCGATTGGAGTCTCGATTGCGCAGAGAAGTGAGAGATTTACCTGGTGCTGCGGGTAACTGTGGAAGAGATCCGGATGAACGAGCTTGAACAGGCGCCGGAGCTCGTCGAGGACGTGAGGACGCGGAGATTGCTGCTGGCAGTAGCCCGCATTGCGGAATCTCTGGCAGAGGAGGCGCAGCACCGACCGAGACGATTGCATGGAGAATTTAGGGTTCTTCGCCTTCCTGAGAATATTCGCGGGATATCTTTAGTACCATGAAATCTTTGGTTACATGCTTCGGCAAGACCGGAATTGTCATGTCATGGCCTCCGCAAAACAAATAGGAACAGTGTAATGAAACTTAAGCTAAAGAAGCTTACCTCTATTGCTCATGAGTCTCTCGCTCAGCTCAATCACCGTCCCAAGCTCACTCAGCCTGGCATTTGCATCGCAATGCAATCGGGCCAAATCGCTGCGACAACGGGAGTATTACAAGAGGAGCAAATAGAAACCAAATCCTATACCTGGAGAATCTGGAGTGCGTCTCCCACAACCTTGTGGAAGAAGTTGAAGTGACAGTACTGCCTTCCTACCTCAAGGTCAAAGTTGTTAGCAAACTTTTGATGTAGTGGCTGCAAGTTTAGTTCGGCCCCAGCCTGAAAATCACAAAATCATTCCACTGTAATGAAGTCATTGTATAAGCTATTAAGCTAAGTATCGAGGAACAGATTGTAGGTGGCTCGGTCAACCACAGGACGAACCTCACAAACATTACTGTGTACACTGGGAGCCAGAGCACCAAGGCATCCCCTATAACAAAATGTAAGTTCTACGCTTCACTTCTACATCACATAGCTCACTCGCCTTCACTTCGTGAAATCGGTATGTAGCTGGTGTGATTATGCTTCTGCCAGGCTGACTTTTGCCCGAATAGGGAGAACCCTATGTGAGAGAGGCATCGCTCCAACAGGATGGGTCCACGAAGAACTGCTTCCACGCCGGAGGCAGGGCTGCCGCTGAAAGTGGTGGTAGGAGCGAAATGGTGGCCAAACCCTGTTAAAAAAAAAAAAAAAAACAATGTCAATCAACAAACAATCTCTCAATCTCAAACTTGCGCCCTGGCTATGGGTGGCTGCTGATCCATGCAAAATGACAGACAAACAGGGAAGAGAAGACCTATTGGACCGTTGAAGAAAACCGTTGACTAAAGAGTTTGAAAGCCACGTGGCATCTCGTCAGCTGTACAGTCTAATTATAACATCTTACCTAAATACAACCTAATTAATACATCTTACCTTTATCGTCCTTGTCATCCACTGACACAAAATCAAGATACTCATATCAAGGAGCTATTTTGAAAGAAACACAAGTCAAGAGGAAATGCAAGCTACACATTGGTGCCTTCATCCTCATGAGCAGTCATCACGAACATACCTTTGGCAGCCAGGAAGTCGAGAAGCTTGCGTATGTGGCTCTGGGAGAGGTCTTCAAAGGCTGCCGACTATGGTATATGGCCCCAGTGCGAGATCATCTGCATGAACAGCGAAGCCAACACTCTCATCTACAGCTGCAACGCAAGAACAGGCGTCTCTAGCGGCTTCAATGACGAGCCAAAGATGGTCATAAGCTCCGACCACAGTGCGTGAATGCGCTGAAGGCAGCATTCTGGGGGTTGCTCGGAAATAACATGAACTTTTGAGTCAGGCAGGGCCCAAAGAATCAAGGGATGAGCATCACCCTGCAAGGGCTACAGGCCTATGTGCCAGAGTTGGAGGACTTTGGGAAATCTCCTTCTGGAAAATACAATTTATGTCCCGATGCTACAAGGGGTATTTGCAAACGGTGAATATTATGTAGGTTATAGGTGTAGAGCTCTATTGGCTTCTTGGATGGAAACACAGGAAGATATCGGGCCAGAGGGCATCAATTGAATTCAGTGTAGTTAGGGAATGGTCTCACCACCCTCATCCCCTGGGAGGGATGGCTTTGCCAGCTATGTTATGAAGAGGTGGAGACAATGACATACAAATGTCGGGCTTTTACACGTATTCTGCAGTGATATCACTTCCCACAAGTTGGTATGGATCGCTCATCCCAAGGCTAAAGAGGTGGCCATATTTCTCTGAGGAATCAGGATGCAACTTTTCCACGCATAGCCCTAAGGGCTGGACATGGCTCCGGCGGCCTCGGGGGCATCTTCCGAGGCTCAAGCAGCAACCTCAGGTTTGGTGGGAATCGGTAAGAGCAGAGCAGCGATTGAGATAGCGATTTCTGAGGCAGCAACAGCGATTGAGAAAGCGACTCCTGAGGCAGCAGCAGCAGCAGCGACCTCGTCCCGGTCAGGTTTGGCCAGAAAGAGAATTCCATGCACTTCCGGCTCGAATTGGACAGAGGAGCAGTTGCAGTTCTTCAACATTCACGTAGTCCGTGAGGCTGGTTTTGAAGCTTTTTTCAAAGAAAAACCAAGGGAACAGTTTAACCAGGAGGTTGCGGAGTTTCTAGACCTGAATCTGGAAGTTGTGCGTCCCAAGACCAAGGGTGTGGTATCAAGCCAAGTGAAGCATGTTGCCAAAGATCTGATCGCTGTGACCAAGTCTCACAGGAACGACGAGAGTGCCGTGGATGACATGTCCAAATCGTTGCTCCAGCTGTTTGACTATGATTCAGGGGAAAGGTCAGTCAGAACAAGATGCACGTTGCAGCTGGAAATGTCGAATCGGAAAACCGAAGCTACTCCGGATGTTTGCGTTGAAGATGAGGATAGCTCCATCAGATTACTTGTTGGGAAGGTCAGGAATCTGAAAGGTCACCATCCTGTACCGCAATTGATAGCAGATGCAATTGCTGCGTATCAAGAGAATGTGGATCTGTGTGAGAGGCTTGTGCTTCCGGCGTATCCAGGAGAGAAGGTCATTCCAGGGATAGTTATGCTCGGTACAAGGCCCGCGTTCTACCTCATACACATGACCAAGGCTCTGTCGGATTGTGTGAAGCAGGGTGAGAAGCCAGAGTTTGTTACCATGGTACAGGAGTATGTGCCTCCTAATCTACCAGTCACCATTTCTGATGCAATGCTGGACAAAAGGTTGCGCTATCATGTCGGTCAGTGCCTAGAGTCATTCAAGCGACATTTATAATAGAGTTGTAGTTCGAACTGACCAGAGGGACGGAAGATTAGGAACATCTTTGTCTACTCTTATCACTATTCTATAAGTTTTTGTCCCTCCATGCTTTCTAGACTCTAGCAGGCATGCTGGTAGTTCACCTGAGCATTGTTCGCCTCCTCAGCCTTCACTGCGCTGCTCCTTTTTCGTTTTTTTGTTTTTTTCCTGCAAGTGCTTTTTTGATCGTTAGCACATTAGCACGGTGCCATTTCCTTAAGCTGCTCTCCTTTGCGCTGCTGCCTAAGCTTCGATCCAAGAGATCAGAGCGCTGAGAGCTTTCTAGAGCTTTCCTCCGGCGTTCACAAACCCCGAGAAGCTGATGGATGTCAGGTTTAAGGAGCATTCCTTTTTCTAGTCTTTGTTTTATAACCGACTCTATTGCAGGTTTTGGGCGGCACTCCCGATAAGCAAGATAACCCAGCTAAGACTCAAGATCGTAATGGCAACGCGATTGGCGTCAAGGACCATGGTTCGTGTCGTTGCTGGTCCTTTCAAGGTAATTATTGATAACAGTCCAGCTCCATTTTTATTCATGGCCCTGTCGAGCATCTCAGCTTTGTTCATACAAGATCGACAACGGAGGATTCATTTGTGATGCCCGTTGACTGTCAACTGAAGACCAGGTCAACAGGCGGTTAGGCGGCTAGGCGGCTAGGCGGCTGGGAGATTTAGCACCAGATTACCAAATCTTTGGTGCTTCATTAGCTATCAACAAGATGACTGGGTGGATTTTCTACCTCTAGCCGAGTTTTCCTACAACAACTCTGTTCACGCTTCAAACGCCCTTCTTCGTCAACAGAGATTTCCTCAAGCACCCTCGACTCTATCAGTCCCAGCACAGAAGATTGTCTTCACTGCCTCCTGGAGCTGCAACATACTCTGCATGAGCATCTTACCGCTGCCCAAGAACGCTACCGTCGTTTCACCTACACTCATCAACAATCAGCTCCACGCTTCTCTATCGGTGACCTTGTGTGGCTTCTCCGTTGCCATCTGCCCACGTCTCGACCATGCGACAAACTCGACGGTCGCCGCTTGGGACATCATCGAACAAGTCGAGCATTTCCTGAACCTCAAACTCGGCCTGCTCTGCGACCTCGGAGTTCGTGTCTGAAAGGAGTTGGCAACGTGGGGTTCCACGGGATGAATCCGGATCGTGGATGGAAGCTCAAGGCGGAAAGCACTCCAAGCTGCTCTTGATTTTCTACCCGTCCGTCACACGATCCAACGGTCAACGGTCAACATCGTCCTCCTTTAGGGCTTTCTCTCTCTGGAAGTATGTTATGGAATTTGCTTCTTTATGTGCTCGTATCTTCTTCACAAAAAAGGATTCTCTCCAAGATTCTTATTCCCAAAAGATTTGACGTGCCAGCAGAAAAGTACGCCACGTGGCGATAAATGACGTGCAGAGGCTTACATGGCGCGCTCTTATTCGCCCAAGCGACGCGGAGGTTTTAGGTTACAGCATAGACATGAGGCTTGTTTTGGCGCTCTCGTTCGCGCTATGGCTTTCGCTCGCGATCGTTTTCGCGGTGGAATCCGACGATAAGGGTCTCGGCGCTGTTCTGGTAATCGAAATGTTCCATCGATCGAGCGATCTCTGATTTCTTTCTCCCATTCTCTCCTCCAGGAAGCGACGGATAAAATCGTCCAGCAGCTAGGATGGAAGCGCGAGGATGTGAATGTGTCGCGGGTCTACTCCCGGAGGATGGGGCAAGCACTGATGTACGAATTCGACATCGAAATCGGTGGAAATATCTTCCCGATCAAGCTCGCCGAGGACATCAGTACATGGCGCTATGTGGACGAGCTCTCAAATCAAGGCACCGAGAAGGCGATGGTGGAATTTGGACACTGGGATGACGCGGCGCTGGCTCCATTCAAGCTCGCAGGGCCGGTTGAGCTCTGGATCCAAGATGCCAAGGACCTCCGGCTCGCGATTCCGGTATGCATTCACCACGGTCTTGAATCGATCGCTAAAAAAGCCTTTCTTGTTTCCAGAACGATGTGGATGCTGGAGCGTTGCGAAAGGTTTTGCTAGCGGATGGCGCCACTGTGACAGTACTAGGAGCTCGAGAGATAAGTCTGACGAAGCCATTCAAGGTACCTTTGCCGCTGGTTGGCAGCGGTGATGACCACGCTTCCAGCATCTTGGCACTCTCGGAACAGCTCAGGCAAGCATCCCGATCCAGCGACCGGCCGATCCTATCACTCCGAGTGGTGAAGCCATCCTCGCTGGTGGCATCCGCCCCGGAGCAGCTGGATTCTCCGCCGGAGCGCCTCAAAGTGAAGAAACTTTCACCGGGGGCAGTGGAACTGAGCAGCAGGGCGCTGGACAAACTCGCAGGAGGCGAGATCGACTTGAGTGGCAGTAGCAGCGGTGGCAAGTCACAGTGGCTGTGGCCGCTTCCATCCGTGAACACGTCTGGACCAACCTTGCGGAGCTTGGAGCAAGCGCTCAAGCTCTTGCTCGGCCCCAGCGCTCACAGGCCGGGCTCCTTCAGCCTCCTCCGCGCCAAGGCCGCGGCAGCGAAGTTCGTCAAGGTGGAATTCGAGCTGGAGAAGCGCCTAGATGGCGACGATGGTGCTCTACCCGAATGGGCAACCAGGCCGACGATCCAGCGGCTCCAGTTTGAGGTCCTGTCCAAGATCGACGGCGACAAAGTGATCCCCATGAGCGTCCGGCCTTTGGAAACGTATCCCTCGGCTACCACCGCGTCCTTCGATTTTTTTAGTGGCAACACCACTAGCTTGGAAAGCATGGCGTCGATATTCCTTCCTCCAGTGAGCCCTTTGACACTAGACGTAAGTGGGTGAAATCGCTTGGTGAATTTTTTACACTTGAGGTTTTCCATGTATCATAACTTAAGTTGGTAAAAGTTGGTAAACACATAAAATCATGTAAATCATAGCGATAAGTTGGTAAAAGTTGGTCACAACTGGATAAAATCATGTAAGAGTTTACCACAGAGAATAACGATCGTAGCAAAAGCTTGGCAAAAAGAAAAAAATTCCAGTTAGCGATCGAAGATGCGAAGCTACCTATCTATGGTCGAAACGAGTAAACATCGATCCTGGTATCGTCTCCAGCGGCGTAAAGGACGTTCTTTGCGGTGGACCATTTCAGATCATGGTACATTCCAACATGGCGGCCATCCGGGAAGAGCTGCGCGAGTCGGGCGGAGGGCCGAGGCATGAAGAAGTCCGCAAAGTAAAGCCCACGAAGAGTGCTTATCGCGGCGGTCCCCGTGCCTGGCTTTAAAGCTAGCTTGAGAATGCCACTGTCGTCGATTTGCATGGACGAGACGGGAACGCTCGAAGCCTGGAAAAACCAAACGTATGAGCTATGCCGAGAACGAGGAACTAGCAGCAACGCTTACCTGGTTTGACAGCGTCCGGTAGTCCCAGCGGTGGATAAACTTGTCCATGCTCGCAGAGACGATCATGTTTGCGTCGGTTGCATCCAGGCACGTAATCATCGCGTCGTGGGCTTGCAACCGGCCTGTGCTTCGCAGAGCTCCAAACATACCTGTGAAAGGCTCGTCAAAGAAGCACGCTTGAGACGAGAGAAAAGAATGTCTCGTACCTGTACAGCGATCGGCACGACGGTCCCAGACGCGGATTGTGCAGTCTCTCGAGGCCGACATGAATATGTTTGGGTTTGGAGGGAATAGAGATAAGCAAGTTATCAGGTCCTGATAAAAAAGAAACACAACTTAGAAACCGTAAGTGCGAGTTGAGATCTACCTCATGCTCCACGTACTGCCTTAGAGGCTTCAAATTCGTGAAGGAAGTTGAGGACTGAAGATCGTAGTAGCAGACCTTTTGCTCACAAACATCACTTGGTCCTGATTTTGTGGTTTCTCCCGTAATAAAAGACGGCTCCAGGGCTCCTAATGCCTGTTGGAACAAGTCAGCAGATTTATAAGAGAATGAAATACCAAAGTACCTTAATGCACGCTATCAAAGTTGTCGTTTCTCTTGGAAGACATCCTTTCTCTTTCCAGCCTAGTCCCCCTATTCCTCCGGCTCCATAGCGAAAAATGCACGGAGGAGGTAATCTTCGGTTTGGAAGTGCACCCTCTCTTGCAACACCACAAACAAGGAGCGACTGGGAGGATACTTGAACGTCCATGGAGCACGCATAGTGGTGCGGCATTTCGATATGATTCAAAAGCTGCAGTGACAAACAGCGTAAGTTTATACGATCAGAAACAAGTGCAAAAGGTGAGTATACTTGTCCGTCACAAGACCAAACAATGAGGGACCCGTCTTTGGCACCAGTCAGTAGCTGGTCTCGCCTGCTGTCTAGTGATGTACACACTTAGTAATTGCACAAAGATGATGACCTTACCATAAGCCATGGTGAAAACAGTGGTTTTGTGTCCATGAAAGGAGTCCACAGCATGAAGTCCTGAAACTATATTCAAGAGATTATAACAAGAACTTTTAAGTGCTCTTACCTGACTGTGTCACTGGAGTTTCATGGACCGGCCTCGGCGAAGTCACAACCGAGGTAGGACTGAGATTCCATCCCATGCTTTCCTCAATGTAATTTATGTCGTATCTGTCACAGAAAACGTTGCTAAAGTCAGAAAAGTTTGTACGTTCCCTCCATGCCTTACACAAAATGCCCCTCGGTGACGTTGTGAACAGCAGCCCGCAAGTCCGAGAGTGTCGTAAGATCACACTTCTCATTCAGCTAGAACAAAAGGAAAGAAATGTTAAAACCTGGATTTCTCATATGTTAATTCTACCTGTTGTAGGCAAAGCTCCACAGTCTTCCCCAACATTGTTACCGCTGCACATCGGGTCTCTTGCTTGCGAAGAAGTTGAACGATGGATTGAACAGCTCCTGGGAACCAAGAAAGCATACAGAGTTAGCCACATGCAGTTGGATGCTAGCTCGGTCAGAAGTACCAACGAGAGGGACAAACTCCATTTGAACTATAGAAGCAAATGCTTCAGCGTAGGAGAAGAACTCCATTCGACTCGCATCGATGGATCGCTTCAAGGTGAGGTGCTTCAAAACCTTGAGTAAAAAGAGATCAAGCCCCGCCAGCCAAACAATTTAGCAGAAAAATACCTTTGGGATGAATGTCTCTTTCATCCTCACTATCAAACGCTCTGGTAGCCTGGAATAAAAAAGCCCGAGAGAACAGTAAGAAAAAGAGAAACAAGTTGAGACACCGAAGAACCTTGGAAACAGTAGCATGTATGGCACCACGGATTCTTGGCGCATCACCATTTCCCGGCTAAAGACTACATCTTCAAAGGCTCCAATCAATTCGTCAAAGACCTGTGAAGAAAAGTGAGTTTTCTTCTCTCTTTCGTATCATCTTCTCGAAAAGGAAGAAAAGCTTACCAGTTCTGATGATTCTAGCTCCGTGAGCACAAGCGTGATCTCAGAAGCGACGCGATCCAGCTCGCTGGAATCTTTGAGCCGTAATATCAGCGGCGTGAAGAGCTTCTTGAGATCCCGGGTCTTGACGTGATCGGTGAGGAGCCTGGCCATGAGAAAAATCCATTGTAGGATCGCTTGGAGCGCGAGAAGAGAGCGCCTACCTGAGCGTCTTGAAGAGCTCCGTCGCGAGGGGGATCTCATCGGGGCCGACCTCCACCTCGATGAAGAGCTTCATGCTCTTCGCAAGAAAGTGAGGAGCCCAAAGCCCTAAATAAAATAATGTGAGGATTTAGGGTTTATGCGATCGCCAATGCGCGGGCTATGGGCGGGCGGAGGCGCCGCGATCGCCAATGCGCGCGCCAGGTATCTCTCCAAAATCGCAATGTCGCATCGCCCGCTCCCCCCGGCAGAGATTGAGCGCCTGGCCGAGATAATCCTGCGACAGGTGGTGGATTCCAAGCGAGCCGGGGAAGGAATCGAGAAATCCCTGGGTCTGTATGGCGATATTCTAGTCCCTGACCTCGTCGGCAAGGTGATCCACCGGATTCCGGATCCAAACACCGCCTGGGAGGTGTTCCAGTGGGCCGGGAAGCAATCCAAGTTCACGCACAACAGGTTTACTTGCAACAATCTCCTCAGCGTCTACGTGAAGGCCCGGCGCGTCGAGGACGCGCATCTCTTCTTCCAGAGCCACATGAAGAACGTCTTCGAGCCGGACGAGGTGTCTTACAACACGCTCATGAATGGTTTCTTCAAGGCTGGCGACGTGAAGAAGGCGCTGGCGCTGTTTGGAGAGATGAAGGACTCCGGCATTGCGGTCCTGAGGTCTCACAACATTGTTCTTCGAGGGCTGTGCTCCGGGGGGAAGATCTCCATGGCCTGGGAGGTTTTCAAGGACATGAGTGGGATTTTCTCCCCGAACCTCATCTCGTACACCATCATGATCGATGGCCTTTGCAAGAGCCGCAAGGTGGACAAGGCCATCACGCTCTTCAAGCAGATGGTGGACAAGGCTATCTATCCGGACGTGGTCACGTATGGTGCTCTGATCGATGGGCTTGGCAAGCAGCGCCGGGTAAAGGAAGCTTATGACTTGTTCGAGGAGGCCAGAGCGAAAGGATGCCACCCGACTGTGGTGACTTACAACACCATGATCGACGGGCTTTGCAAGTGTGGAAGGATTGAGAACGCTTTGACGCTCTACGACGACATGGTGAGAGAGCCACACTTGAAGCCGGACATGTTCACGTATAGCGCTCTCATAAACGGTCTCAACTTATCCAACAGAGGGGAGAAGGCTTACGAGCTGTATGAAGAAATGCTGGACACCGGCTGCTCGCCCGACGTTGTAACTTACAACACTCTCCTGGACGGGCTCTGTAAGTCGGGTTGCGAGGACAAGGCGATGGAGATTTTCAGGAAGATGGGAGTTGGGAACGTTTGCGATCCCAACGTGATCACCTACACAGTTCTCATCGACAGGTTTTGCAAAGTGGATCGGCTGGGAGATGCTGTGAAGCTGGCGAAAGAGATGGAGGGCAGATCTCTCCTCCCGGACGCCGTCACGTTCACGACGGTGATCCAGAAGCTGTGCAAGGAGTCGAGAATCGACGAGGCTCACGAGCTGTTTGAGAGCATCGGAAAGACTTGCAAGCCGGACTCGGTGCTCTTCAACACGATGCTTGCTGGCTACTGCAAGATAACGAGGATCGACGACGCAAAGAAGCTGCACGACCGAATGCTCGACAGTGGCTGCGCTCCGACGCTCGCAACATACACAGCTCTCGTCACTGGGTTCTGCCGCACTGGGAGATACAGCGATGCCTTGATCATGTATCACGAGATGATCGAGATGGGATTTCCACCGGAGAGACATCTAGCTGAGCTGGTCGATCGGACTAGGACGGATCATCCCCCTCCTCGTCGTCCATACTTCGTGACAACTTGAAAAGAACGAGCTCACGCAAAGGTATGAACGATGCTTCCGGAGGTGGTGGTTATTTTCGAGATCCTGGCCAGACTACCGCTGGAAGAAGTGCTGCGGCTGAGGTCCGTGTGTAGATCCTGGAAGGCTGCCACAAGCGACCAGCTCTTCACCTCCAGGCATGAAAAGTTCCAGAGAAGGGCGCCATGGCTCCGAAGAGGGTACGTTTTTTTTGGATCCGCGCAAGCATAAAAAGGCAAGGAAGCTCTTCACTGCCCAGCAAATCCCGAGGGAGTTCTTGTTGGAGCCAGGCGTGCTTTGCTACGCTACAACCACGGTCCATTACCGTCGACCTGGTGGTGTGGACTCCTCACGAAACAGTGCCGCCAGATCCCAACCTTCTACCCGGTGCCGTTTGTCACCATGGTTTTGCGTGAGGCTTCTCAGTTGTTTGGAAACTGCTCTATAGAGCCGATCCCGGGTTCGAACCCATGAAGGACCCCATTTTTTTTTCGCTGAGATTCGACCGTGTCACGTCTTCGTACTTCGAAATAACTTCTATGATTCAAATAGCATTTTTAGGGTTTATGGGATCGGGCAGAGGATCGCCAATGCGCCAGGTATCTCTCCATCGGCTGCTAGAGCCAGGCCGAGATAATCGCCATTGAGAAATCTCTGTTTCTACATGGCGAAATTCTTGTCCTCGGGAGCCTGGGAAAGTCGAACAGGTTTTTGCCTGCAACGATCTCCATCGACGTTAGCATCCAGGATGCCCATTTCCTCTTCCGGAGCCATATGAGGGACGTCCACGGACGCATTCCTCCTCGTCGTCGGAGCTTCGTTACTGCTTTAACAGGCCCAAGATGCAGTGGAATATGCGAATGCGCGAGTCCATAGCTCGTGGTGGCTATGGCGGATGGTTGTGGTATGGCGACAGTTGGTCCGACTGTTTTCTTCTCCCGCTCGGAGCCTGGAGCGACGTTTGGTTGCGGCACTACAGGAAGGGAAGCTGCTGGACGAGGCTCTGGGGAGAAGGGGAGGATTGGATGGCTCTCTGGTGGCCTCGGTGATGAAAAGTGTTGATCCAGACTCCGCGAAGCATTTCTTCCACTGGGCGAAGCAGCAAGTGGGCTTTTCACACACTCTGGATACGTGCAATGCGCTGCTGGAAGCTACTGTTCGAGCGGGGAGGATCGGAGAGGCAAGAGAACTGCTAGAGGCCGACTTCAAGGCAGTGCTCAAGAATGTTGTCACATACAACATCTTGATCCGCGGCTTGTGCTCTGGTGGCGATGCTGCTGGGGCCTTGGAGCTGTTCCACCGGATGAGGAACTCGGGTGTTCGTGAGAACTCACAGACGTATCTGAGCTTGCTCCAGGGGCTGTGCTCGGCAGGAATGCTCTCGGCGGCATGGAAGTGCTATAGAGATATGTGGGACTTCTCTACGCACTTGGACGTCGTGGTGGTCACAACGTTTCTACACTGCTTGTGTAGAGCAGGATTCGTGGACTCCGGGCTGGAAGTTGTGAAGCAGCTAGAGGCAGAGACGAAATGCATGCCGACTATGGTGACTTACAATGTTCTTATCAACGGGCTGTGCAAGGCTGGGAGAGTTTGTGATGCCTTCACTGCCTTTAGAAAGGCGATCCAGTTCGGGTTTCGGCCAACAGTCGTCACGTACAGCACTGTCATCGACGGGCTTTGTAGAGACAACGAGGTTGACAAAGGTTGCAAACTCCTGGAAGAGATGGCAGGACGAGGCTGTGCCCCCAATGCGGTCACCTACAATACTTTGGTGAATGCTCTCCTCGGCCAGGGTCGTGCAAAGGAAGCGTTCTCTCTTCTCGAACGGATGGCAGCAAACGGATGTCCTCCGGAGCTGATTACTTTCGGCTTGATCATCAAAGGCCTCTGCAAAGAAGGAGAGATCGAAGCAGCTTTTAGGGTGGTGGATGAGATGGTGGACAGAGGCTTCGTTCCAGACGTGGAGATTCACACGGTTTTGCTGCATGCTCTGTGCGAGCTAGGCCGAGTGGATGAGGCGTGGTTCTTCTTCCAACAGGTACTGCTGATCGGTTTCACTCCGGACGCGGTCACTTACAACACAATGGTCGATGGACTCTACAAAGCAGGGAGGCTAGAGGCAGCTGGAATGGTATTGCAACTTCTGGCCGAGAGCTTCTCGTCTCCGACTGTTTTCACGTTCACCATCGCGGTGGACGGTCTGTCCAAGGCAGGAAACTTGACCGGGGCTTATGAATTCTTCGACTCGATGCCACAAACGGGAGTTTCTCCAAATACTGTGACTTACGACGCTCTCATCGACGGCCTTTGCAAAGCAGGAAAGCTCGACATAGCGCTTGGCCTCTTAAGAGACAAAAACTCGCAGGCAGGCATGTTTGCGTTTAGCTCTCTCCTTCACGGGTTATGCCAGGCTCACAGGCTCGAGGAAGCGATCCAGCTGCTCAAAGCCATGCCTTGCGTGCCGAACGTGGTCTGCTTCAACTCGCTGATGAACGGGCTGTGCCAGGCTCGCAGAGTTGACGAGGCATTCGAGCTTTTTGACGTGATGAAGGAGTCCGGGTGCTCGGCCGACGTGATCACTTACAACATCTTGCTGAAGGGACTGTGCAAGCTGCGGAGGATTCCAGAAGCTTACAGGCATGTCGAGCTCATGCGGCGGACGGAAGGCTGCTCTCCCAACGTGGTCACTTTCAGCACTCTCATCCAGGGACTTTGCAACGCTGGGCGAGTGAACCAGGCCTGGGAAGTCTACGAGAGGATGGTGGCGGTGGAGGGGATCTCTCCTAACAGGTTCACGTACGCGTTCCTGCTGGAAGGACTTTGCAAAGCCGGTGACAGCCGGAGACTCGAGCAGTGTTTCGAGCAAATGCTCGAAAGAGAGTGGAGGAGCTCATCCTCATGGCCGATTCATTCACCTGAAGTGGACTTCCTCGTCTCCGGGTTTGCGAGAAACGGGAGAGCTCTCCTGGCTTACGGGATGGCGAAGCTGATGATGGAAAGAGGATTCGTGCCGGGTGCTGCTACGTGCCGTGCGGTGCTTGACGGGCTCTGGACAGCAGGAGCCGCCAGAGAACACCGGGAATTCGCCTCGCACCTCTTGAGCTCACAGGTTTGATCATTCTCGCATCGAAAGATACTGATTGGAGTGCTTTTGCAGTGAAAAAATCTCTTTTTTTCCGCTCATTTTTCTCGAAGCACAAGTAAGAACACTTCCATGGTTTATTTTTCCTTGTTCTTGATGTATGTTTCTCAGGGTTTAGGGTTTAAGGCGCGTGGCATGGACAATGATCTTCTCCCGCCTGCATTTTGCTGTCTCTAAATGGAGATGGTTCTCTAAGTTGCGACCCCATTTCCAGCAACCAAGGAGTAGTAGACTTCCTTTCGCGATCGCAGGGGTGAGAAAATCACACACACAGCCCTTGAGTGGCCTTTGCAGCAGCAGTACCAGTAACAGCAGCAGCAAGCCGAAGAAGGAGACACTGTTCGCGATCTCCATCGCTGAGACAGTTTCCAGGTCGGGCACTTCGATGGAGAGCATAGAGGCGGCGCTGAGATGGTTCCAAGGTACTCCCAGCAACAGCTTGGTGGGAGTGGTGCTCAAGAACATCCAGGAGCCGGACAGTGCGTGGTTCTTCTTCCAGTGGGCGAGGAGGAAGGCCGGTTTCAGGCACAACACTTACACCTGGAACGTCCTGCTGAGCGTGTTCGTGAGGGAAAAGAGGCACGCCGAGGCGAGGCAGATGATGGACGAGCAGATGCTCCACGACTGCTTTCCGGACGTGGTGACTTTCACCACGCTCATGACGGGTTACTCGAGAGCCGGGGAGATGCGAGCTTGTGTGGAACTTATGGAGGAGTACCGGGCCAGGAACACGGACAAGCCCCCGACTGCTCAGATGTACAACGTCCTGCTCAATGGTTTCTTCAACGCGGGGATGTTTGGAGAGGCTCTGGTCCAGTTCGAGAAGATGGTGCAAGTGTGCCGGCCGACGCTGGTGACTTACAACACGCTGGTTACGGGGCTGTCCAAGTCGGGCATGGTGAGAGACGCGCTCGGGCTGCTCGAGTTCATGATCGAGTCGGGGCTGTCACCGGACGTGATCACTTTCAACTCGGTGCTCGACGGGCTGTGCAAGGAGCAGCGGATACTCGACGCGCACAACGTTTTCAAGCGGGCTCTGGAGAGGGGGTGCCGGCCGAACGTTGTCACTTACAGCACCTTGATCGACGGGCTGTCGAAGATGGCGAAGATGGACGAGGCGTTGCAGCTCCTGGCGAAGATGGTGGAGCTGGGGTGCCGCGCAAACACGGTGACTTACTCCACGGTCGTGGACGGGCTGCTCAAAGTCGGGAGAATGGAGGACGCGGTCGTGGTTCTCAGGCAGATGAGGGACGCCGGGTGCTTGCCGGACGCGGTGACTTACAACACTCTCATCGATGGATTCTTCAAGCGGCAGAGGCTGCGAGAGGCCGTCGGTTTGCTCCGCGAGATGCTCGAGGCCGGGTTCCATCCCAGCGTTGTGACTTACACCACGCTGTGCCACGGGCTTTGCCGGAGCGGCCGCTTCGACGAGGCTGTGGAGATCCTCGACTATATGGCTGCTCGAGGCTGCGCTCCCAACGCCATCACTTACAGCTCCATCGTCGACGGCCTGTGCAAGGCCGGGAGAGTCACCGAGGCGCTGGGATACTTCGAAAAGATGGCGCGGGACGAGGTGGTGGCTCCTCACGTCATAGCTTACTCGGCGCTCATCGACGGGCTTTGCAAAGCCGGCAGGATCGACGAGGCGTACGAGTTTCTCGAGAGGATGATCCGAGCGGGCCGGATCCCGGACGTGGTGACTTTCAGCATTCTCATCAATGGGCTGTGCGACGCCGGGCGGATCGACACGGGGCTGGAGCTCTTCTGTGGCATGGCCGAGCGAGGCTGCGTCCCGGACATGGTGACTTACGCTACTCTCGTCGACAGGCTTTGCCGAGCTAGCAGAGTAGACGAAGCTTTCGATCTCTTCCAGCAAATGAGGAGCCATGGATTGTCGCCGGATAGATCGACTCGGAGAACTATGATCCATGGCCTTCTCGAGGTGAACAGGGACGAAGACGCGAAGAGAATCCAAGACGAAGAGAACTAGATAGCGGGAACTCCTGATTACGACGAAAACAGTTATAAGATCGCGGGTTCGAATCCGGGCATCGACAATGGTAAGATCGCGCATTCGAACAAATCATCGTGTCGGAGTTTCGATTCCTGTCAGCGACGGTATGGTTTTTAGGGTTCTTGGTTTTAAGCTCCAATGATCCGGCAATGGCGGCAATGCCGCTCGCCATTCCGTGTCTCCTACCCGTATTCCAATCCGGGCCACGTCCAGTCCCTGCTCGGCATCCTCGACAATGCGCCCGGCAGCAGCGGCGGCAGCGATCTCGCGGCGCTCCTCAACTCGAGGTACGATCCCGGCGTTGTCATCACCAAGGACACGCTGCGTGTCGTCCTTCGCGAGGTGAAATCCGCGGAGCTTGCGAAGCAGCTCTTTGATTGGGCTGCTACCAGGCCGCACTTCAGCCACAACAATCTCACTCGCAATGCGCTGCTCTTCGCGACGATTCGGGGGGGACAGATCGAGCAGGCCCGCGAGATTTTTAAGGGCATTGTTGAGAAGAAGGCCGATATCTATGCGTACAATGCCATGATCAATGCCTACTGCTTGAAAGGAGAGTTTTCCGCGGCCTATGCGTTGCTGGAAGAGATGAAAACGCACGGGATTGCCAAGAACACCGTCACACACGGGATAGTGATCAAGGCGCTCTGTGGCAATGACCGGATAGACGAGGCTGTGAGTTACTTTCACTCCATTCCCGAGGACTGTCGGGACGAGATCTCGTATAACACTTTGATCACTAGCCTGGTGGCTTCCAGGCGGTCCGAGCAGGCCTTGGAGCTTCTTCGGGCGATGGTAGCCGATGGAGGAAGCCCGGATGCTTGCAACTACATGACCGTGATGGATGGGCTCTTCAAAGCTGGCTCTCCAGAGGTGGCGGCGAAGTTATTACAGGAGATGCGCTCCAGGGGCCACTCGCCAGACTTGAGAACGTACACCATCATGATCTCGGGGCTGTCCAAGGCCAAGCAGTTGCCACTGGCTTGCGACTACTTTGAGGAGATGCTACGCAAGAATCTCAAGCCGGACGCCATCGTATACTCGAGCTTGATAGATGCGTTTTGCAAGGCCGACAAGGTGGACGACGCATGGAAGCTTTTGCGTTCTAGTGGGATCGAGCCAACCATAACCATGTACAGCACGATGGTCGACTCGCTCTGCAAGAACAGGGGGACGGACAAGGCTCTCGAGGTCATCCGGGAGATGAAGAGCAAGAACTGCGAACCGGGGATCCACATATGGACGTCGCTGGCGACGGCTTATGTGGCCGAAGGACGGGTGGACGAGGCTGTGAAGCTTGTGAATGACCTCCAGTGTGATCCGGACGTGATCTTCTACAGCAGGCTCATTGGCGTGCTCTACGACACCGGCAGAAGCGACGAGGCTCTCAACATCTTCAACACCATGGTCGAGAAAGGCCTCGCTCCAGACGGTCAGACTTACTCGACGATCGTCCACTGCTTCTGCAAGCAAGGCAACATGCGGGCCGCGTCGAAGTTCGCTGCGCTGATGCACGGGACTGGCGTGAAGATGGAGCCTATCGTCTATGGCATGCTCATGGACGGCTACTTCCGGGAGTGCAACATGGAGGAGGCTCTCAAAACTTACGAGGTGATGCTCTCCAAAGGCGTGCGTCCCAATCCAGTGATCTACAACATTCTGGTCGGCGGGCTTTGCAAGATGGGGAGGCTGGAGCATGCCACCGAGGTCTTCCGGGAGATGCAAGAGAAGGATGGCATCGTTCCCTCCGCCAAGAGTTACAGCATTCTCATTCACGGAGCTGCAAAGGCGAGGGAGGTGGAAAAGGTGCTGGATCTTCTGACGGAGATGATCGACAACGGCGTCATTCCAAACCACATGACTTACACGAGCGTCATCTCCGCTCTCGGCAAGGCTGGCCGCCTGAGCGAGGCGAAGGATGTGTTCCAGGACATGGTGAAGATGGGCCTGGTGCAAGACGCTCCTGCGTATGGTGCTCTCATCAACGAGCTTTGCAAGAGGTCGAGCTTGGGCGAGGCATGGGACTTGCTTCAGGACATGATGGACAGTGGCTGCGCGCCGGACAAGAAGGTCTACAAGTCATTTTACCGGGCAGTGAGCAAGAGGGAGCAGTGAGCATCTCGACGGCTTTGGAAAGCGTTTTCGAGCTTCGTCGAGCTTGAAGATGAGCTGAAGATCCCCAGGTTCCTCAGGTAACGGGATAATAGAAATCGCTTCTTCAAATCATCCAGGTACTGTGGAGGATCTCTCGCCCATGTTTCCATGTCCTTTTCTCAGGCGAAACTGTGGCGATGAACGAGGAGAGTGTCGCCTCATTCTTTCCCTACGTTCCGGAGGCCGAGAAGGAGAACGATAGGAGAAGGTCCACAGACTCTTCCTATCCATCGAGGACGAAAGTAAGTGAAGCTGGTTTTCTTCAAGCAAAGAGCAGAGAACTAAAGCAAGCGCAGGTATGAATTGGAATCCAAACTAGAGAAGTTAAAAATTATGTAGAGCAAGCCAGGTAAGACCAGGTATGGAATTGTCGATCATTTGTTCTCTCTTTATAACTCTGGAATCCAAACTTTGCAGAGAATACACACGAGATGAAAGGAAGTTAAGTTGTGCAGAATGACCATAAACTCCACCACTCTTGCTCGTCCATCCTGGGGTCCTGGATCTCACGTTCTCACCACACTTGATGTATCAAATTAATTGATAGAAAGATTATTGGGAAGGCAGATTTTGCAGAAATATTATTGTTTCTCAAACTTTCTATACAACCATTGCATCTTAATGTAAATTAAACTTTTATAGTTAGCAAGATTTTACATCTGTTCCCCACATTCTTTTGATAACTGGATATTTTGAGAATCTATGTTGAGTAGATTCATATAATACTAAATTACAGTTATTTTGAAGTGATAAAAATGTGTTCATCATACAATTTTTATATTTGCAATATGTATTTGGAGACCATATAACTTTTTTGTTTCCAGAATAAAATACTAAATTTCCATCTAGTTGTATTCTTAATTGACATCCACTATCATTTTCATATCCTTTCTTAGACCATTTTTCAATATTATAAATATAAAGTACTAATCTACAATTTATATGTAAATATAAAATTGCTTTTTGATTTGGTGATACTAAGAATTCAGTAGACTTCAAGTAATAATAGGGCATAATACTTATTAATGTAGTAAGATAAATTTTACAAACATTTAAGGAATTTAGTTTAGGAAATAGTAATTGGGGATTATGATTTTTGTAATTTGTAATAGTATATTGAATAGCATAATACTCAAGTACCATAGTAAAAAATGATGCACACAATCTTTCTAAAGTATTTCGATGGGATCTTAATAAGGCAGTTAAATATCTTTTAACATTATCTCCATCATCATATTCAGGATCCTCTTGATCAGCAACACATAAAGGAAAAGATTTTCCTTTTGAACCATAAATCCACATTTCAGTAAAAATATTTAATTTTCCATAAATATCATCTTCTAATGTAAATTGAAAATTCATACTTTGACCTTTAGGTAATTCTCCAGAAGATATATTATTAATCATTAAATCCATTGCATAAGTAATTAATTTAGCACTTTCTTTTGACATTGCATTTTCTTCTCCATGTTCTATTTGTGAATTAATAGTACCAAAAAAATATAAATTAGTTAATATAAATATAATTTTCATTTTTATTTTAAATAAAAAATAAAGAGTAGTTAATATAAAAACTTTTTTTAAAAAAATTTAATATTTTTGTAATTTACATTAAATTTAAAAAAAACCTAGTAAATTTAAAAGAAGGGCATGTCAGATATTGTTTATGAGTTTATTTCTCTTGAACAAATGGCACTTCTCTTCTCTCTAGGCACTAAATGCCAAAGAGCTGGAATGGCACCTTCTCAAGTGAATACTAATCATTTGTCATCCTCTTTATCCTAATTGTTGATTTTCAGCCACTCTCAAGCTATGATAGATCATTCATATTGTTTTAACGCATTTGTAGTAATTATATATTTATTAATTTGGGAAATACTACTAAATTTGAGACTTGAAGGAATCTTTTGAAAAATAAGAATAAAAATATTTTTAGAATATTCTTAAAATTTAATGCAGTATATTAAGTTTCAGCTAAGCTTTTTAACTAAAGCTCTACTCCCATAGATCTTACCAAAGCACAACAAACATTAAAAATGAAAATATATATTATCATCTATTTGACATCCATTTAATAGTCTCTTGGAAATGCCTACTTTGTATTGGGTGGAACAGCCAACCATTATATTCATATATAAAAATGAATAAAAATTACCAAAATATTATCAATCATTTTGGAATCTATTAGATTTTTTAGTTGATTATGTGGACTATATGGGATAAACTATTGAACTTTGACTTGTGTAATACCATATATAAGTTTTAAAGTTTCCACACATCTTCCTAACTATATTGGTAATGTATCATCTATTGGACAAACAAATATATCATATCTTTCAGTAATTTTAAAGACGGTAAAATTTTTTAAGGTGATTTTTTGGACCAATATAATGAGGTATTATAATGCACATGATTTTCACCCTTTATCCTATGGTGATTTACCATAGGATAACCACGAAGTGGTACTTAAACCTTTTATATGCCATATATCACATGCCACATGTCTCTAAGGACAACGGAGTGGAACTCGAGTTTTAGAGCTTTCTGAGTGGATTACTACCTCTTGAGCATGGCAGTCAGATATGGGTGGGTTGCTGCTTCTTGAGCAAACTAGGTGTCCATGGTTAGCAATTTTTTTAAGCAAGTATTTTTTAACTAACTATTCTATTATGTTAAGCAAGTAATAGTGGTGAGCCTTGCAATGGCATTGTGGAGCTATCTCTTTTGTGGCATCTGGGAATGCTGTGGCCGCAACACCTAGGCAACTTTTGGAGCTCTTTTTCTTGATTTTGGTTTCTTTCTTAGGTAAATCTAAACTTAGTATTTTTAATTCTTCCCTTTTAACTTCCTCTTTTGTAGTTCTCGTGGTTCTCCTCATGGTTCTCCTTGTGGTTCTTTGGGGTTTTCTTCTTGAGAGAAGGTACAAAATATTTTTAGGATATTCTATCATCAGTTGGATTTTGTCAGCAAGCATAAAAAAAGACTTATGCTGAGCATAGAATATTTCTAGAATACTCCATGCAATTGCATTTTGTCAACATGAGCACTCATGCATACATTGCACACGGAATATTTCTAATATTCTGTCATGCAATTGTCTATATGGGGTAATAGTGAGTAAGCACTCATGCTCCTAGCCCACGCTAAAGTGCACTACATGCTAGGGTGAGCACTCATGCTCCCATCCCATGCTAAAGTGCGCTATAGTTATGTTCTAATTGCATGTAAATAGTGTGTGAGTGTTCATGCTTTACTTGATTAAAGTGTAATATAGATGGTAAACAACTGTAAGCTTTTGTAGTGTAATAGATGGGATAGTAAACTTTTTGTGGTGCGTGAGCACTCACATAGAACATAGTTTCATCTATAGTAGATTTGTACTTATATATTTTACAAATGTTAGACATGAGAAGGAGAAGAGTTACTGTGGCAATGGCTAACCTACTTAGTAATGACCTTTATATTGCAGTTGAAAAGGTTTCTTTAGGCAGCAGCAATAGTCTCTTTGAGATTTTTTCATCAGAATCAAAGGGCTATAAAGTGGGACAAAAGATCATATAGAATAGATAGGCAGTGGTACCTAAGATTCCCCTCTTGGCAAGGAGGGTTCCAAAAATTCCAAAAGATTGTGATGCTGAGGCAATTTTGGAATATAGAGCAAAGGCAAAGTTGGTCAATTCGAGATGATGCTAGTGATCTCATCTTTTGTAGCGAGGAGCTAAACAAGATAGACAAGTTGGTTGATAAAAAAATCTTACTTTGTTGGCATTTTGATAGAGAGGCATTTCAATTTTTTATTAATGTTGAAGGTATTTCTAAGCCAGTGGCTTTTGATCCAAAAAGCATACAACTTAGCTGTGCTAAAGAAATGATAGGATTAGATGCAATTAAATTTTGGGATACTTCATCAATAAGTGAGACTAAGCTTACAACATCATCAAAATCAACGTTGCTGAACAATTGGAGGGATAGCTTTAAAGTGAAGATTCTTAGCCCTAACTAGTTTGCAAACTCAGTGGAACCATGTGAAGTTTCACTAAAGGAAGCAAAAGTAGCATTCAGTAAAGTAAGAGTGGAACTAATTTGAATCAAAACTTGGAAATAAAGGTTTTTGGAAATGGTTTTGAAGGTGAAAGTGTGGATAGTGTATTAGAAGATGAAATAGTAAAGAAGAAGAAAGGAAAGCAAGGCATTGGTGAAAAAGCAATTGCAGTATTTTCAAAACATGCAATGCTTCAAAGATTGTAGAGATTGAGAAGCAATATTCTTTAATACAAAGTCTTAAGCTTGTGCATTTGCACATCTTGAAGTTTTAAGTGTTTGAGGAGCATAACTAAAGGCTACTATATGATCATTGGGTTTAAAGCTTGAAGGAAACCATCAGTGTTAATCCACAAGAACTTGATCCAGCTGTTATGGTGCCTTTCAAGATAGAAGATGGAGTTGTGACATATATTTCTAATCCAAGGGATGTAAAATATGTCATTGATTTTAAAGACTTTGAGCAAAAGAAAAGAAGGAAAGCTAACAAAGAAGACAATGAAAGCAATAAAGATGATGAAGGCACAAAAGATGAAGGAAAGGATATAGATTCAGGAGAAAATGAAAAAAAGGATAGTGATGATGGCATATGTTATTATGTTATTATGTTATTTTTGGGCAATACTCTACAAAAGCACTACAAGAGCTTCTTGAAGATGAGAGCTTCCTTTCTAAGGTTCAAGAAGATCCTGAGCTGGACTTCATACTTTGCTTGTGTAGATGCAAAGTGATAAGTGGCAAGGTTGCAACCAAAGATAACATTATTAGAAAACCAACCTTCGACTCCAGAAGCAACTGCTCAATTAGAATGGGAGAGACTTTCGTTTCGAAGTCCTTGTCTCTCACTCAACTCAAACAAGGTACAAAAGGAAAATCTTGAAGTCCCTTTTTCCAAGTAACTAGAACATATTAGAAAGGCATGGATGAATGCTGGACGTCCAGAAAAATATATAAGAGGAGGAGCTCATTGTGGAGAATGGAAGGTACAAACATATTATTATTATCATTATTACTAATTTTATAATTTGTTATAGGACAAGTACACTTTTTCTTAAGATAGCAAAGAAGATGCAACCAATTATTTCTTGGACAATGAATTTTTTTAAAGATGTTTGTGTCCTAAAAAATGATGATTTGAAGCTCTTAAGTTAGGAGATTCTAATGGGTAGATGTTCAGTCAAGAAAGTGGTAGGTAAAGATCAAACAAAGAAGGTTTTGAGTATGAGTGAGTTGGGGTCAAAACTTCAGGATTGAATGAATTTGATTAGTGAGTTGATCAAGTTTTGTGCTGATAAGCAGTTGAAAAGTATAATCACAAAAACCAATAGAGAATCCTTTATAAAGACTATGAAGATTTCAAATAAGGATCTTGATCTTTGGATTTTGGATGACAAAAAGCTCTTATGAATCAGACTTAAAACAAACCACCCCTTTTAGCTTGAGTTTCTTTAGCACTTCAAAGTAAAGCTAATCCTAAGGGTGGATTGATTATAGAACTAACACCTCTATATAGAGTTTTCAACATAGATAATGATCAAAATGCTTGGCCTATATGATTAGCACAAAAAGATAATACAATCAAGCTATTAGTTATGCAGGGCTTG